CAATATCTTCTTTAAATGATAAAAACATCCCATAATGTCGAAAGTAACAAAGAACCACGTCCAGCAGTGTAATTTAGTGTGTTTTTTAAATTCATAGTTTAATATTTATTTCATTTCAGAGAATATCCACATTGTATTGATCAATGGACGGAACATCATGTCAAATCATTTCTTCTTGATAAACAATTAAGTATTCTTTTACCTATTTTCGAAGGAATGGATGGACAATTATTACATCAAAGTTATTCGATGTGTCAAGCTAATCAACACGCGATGTTTTTATCATTTAAAGAAGATATTGCTAAATCTCAGCATATGACACTCAATTTGAAAGAATATCTTATATTTCTTAAAGAAATCAAAATTTATATTCCACATACAATTGGTAATCAATCAAATGCAACATCTGTTGTTTGTAATCTCATGTGATTTACAATATTCTTGGTTATTTCGACATTTTATTTAACTAATTGAAATTCTTTTCCGTCTTATTCTATATTGTTTATCAGAGATATATAGAATATAAGAATCTTTGCAGGCGTTAATTATCGTATTGAATTTGGGTGAAGGTGAGAGTGTGAGTGTGGGTCTAGGTCATACACTGTAAAAAAAAAGGAGTTTTACCAAACCAAAAAAGGATCTTCTCTTCGATACACGGGACGATCCTTTTTTGGTTAAGTAAAATGAAGATTCCGAAGAGAACCTTACAGGAAAAACTGAGAACGAAGGTTCCGCAGCAAAGATTTAATACGAAACTTTTTTTCTTCAAAAGACAAAAGGTTCCGTATCATAGGTACCGTACGGAACCATCTGTAACTATATTAAAAAACGTTTCGTAAAAATCCATAGCTGCGAAACCTTCGTTGCATTAGTTGTTCTCTTGGGTTAGTCACAGACTCCTTTATAGTTATCCTCCTACAGGCTCCGTATTCAGTCACCACAGAATATATCGTTCAAAGCTACCTTTCGAAGGGAAAACTACGTTTCGTACCACTTTATTTTTCCGAACTCCCGGCAGAAGGAAAAATAC